CTGCATTTTGGGAAGAAGAGATACAGTATGAGCTTTTTTGTGCAACTTGCAGACTTTGTAGCAGTAAAAACATGGTAGAACTTAGAACATAGAACGCAGACATATGTGGACATCTGACCGTCACACCTATTTGAGCTTGTTGGATAGGCCATTTCAAAACCATGGACATTAGCATGGAGTTGACCACCTCTTTGCAGCTATAACAGCCTTCACTCCTCTGGTAAGACTTTCCACAAGATTTTGGAGTGTGTCTGTGGGAATTTTTGCCCATTCAGTTAAAAGAGCATTTATGAGGTCAGGCACTGTTGTTGGACGAGACGACCTGGCTCACAATCAACGTTACAGTTCATCCCAAAGATGTTCATTGGGGTCACTTTGTGTGCAGGGGCACAGTCATCCTGGAACAGGAGAACATTGGGTGCATGTAGTTGTGTAAAATCTCTTCGTATGCTGTAACATTAACATTACCCTTCACTACAACTGGAGCCTATACACTGAAAAACAGCCCCAGACCAGTATCCCTCCTCAACCAAATTTTACTGCTTGCACTATCCAGCTAGGTCACGTTTTCCTGCCATCTGCCTAACCCAGATTCATCCATCACACTTTCAGATAGTGAAGTGTGATTTATCACTCCAAAGAACATCTTTCCACTGCTTCAGAGTCCAGTGAAAACGTGCTTTACACCTCTCCAGCCGATGCTTGGCATTGTGCATAGTGATATCAGGCTTGTCTGCAGCTGCTCAGCCATGGAAACCCATTTCATGAAGCTCCTGATGCACAGTTCATGTGCTGATGTTGTTGCCAGAAGCACTTTTAACTTCTGTTGTTGAGTGATGTAACAGAGGATATGCTCATACATGCTTCAGCACTGGGTGGCCCTGCTGTGTGAATTTGCATGGTCTGCAGCTTCGTGGCTGAGCTGCTGTTGCTCCTAGACACTTACAGTTCACAATAATAGCACATATAGTTGATTGGGGCAGATCTCGCAGAGCAGACATTTAATGAAATTTCTAGAAATTTCTTGTGGCAAAGGTGACAGTGCCAAGTTTAAAGGCACTGGGCTCTTCAGTATGACACATTCTCCTGCCAGTGTTTGTCTATGGAGATGACATGGCAATGTGCTTGATTTTATATACCTGTTAGCAATGGGTGTGACAGAGACACCTGAACTCATTAATCAGGAGAGGTGTCCATAAACGTTTGGCCAAATAGTGTATATGCAGAACTTTTGTCTTTTTTTTCAGTGTCAGGCGGATATTTGAATTTTCCATTGTCTGTTTTGGTCCAAGTATGGAGTGCATTAGAGACAATCTTTATAGGGCATCTCAGCATTCATATTGCAGAGAGAGAGAGAGAGAGAGAGAGAGAGGGAGAGAGAGAGGGAGAACTAAAAACAGAAACTAAAACCAAAAAAAATAAAAACTGTTTACATAAACATACTATAATTACTAACCTACAAAATTATTCAATTATGTAGGCTACAGGGTGTGCCACAACATCCTATAGAGAACAGTTGGTCTTCCAAGGCAATTAATTCCATTCCTTTAGTGTGCACGTTTGCACTGTTGTTTGTAAATTTTTTCCATCATTTCAGAAACTGAGGTTATAGATGATGTTGGTGTGCCTGCAGAGACTTTCCTTTCTGCTTCTGTTTTTCTGTATTCCATGTATCAAGTGGGATGTCATGTTTTCAAATGATATAAAACCTGTAGTGGAGAAGGTCTTGGGCGTTGTATCCTTCCTGACACTTAAGTTTTTAATCACTCTTACTCATTTTCTTTTTAAAATTAAAATGAATAATTAATAAAATAAAAATAAAAGAAATGATTAAAAGAAGTAATCCAAATCCAAATTATTTGTAACATGTTGTATTTTTACACTTTATTGTAGGTCTGTTTAATGTTTGGTTTTTGGAAATTTTCGTGCATTCCTAATAATGAGCAAACATCCAGTTAGAGCCTTGTCACCAGGCATTTTTCCAGTTTGACAGTGTGTCACCACTGCTTGTTTACAAGCACTCCCAAATCTCTATTTTTATGAAGGATACACTTGCTTGGTGTCCTAGAAATACTGACTGATGGTGGTATGTTGTCTTATTAACAACCCATCATACCCATATTTCATATCCACTACCCATATTTTCTCTCTGAAGAGCTGCTCCACATGTACCTGGCTGCTGTGTGGTGTCTTTCAGCTCCTGTATGGAGAAGCATATGGCTCCTCTGAAAGCCAGTGCCTTGTCATGTGAGGGAAGCACAGTGTTTTTCTACAGAGTCTTAGTAGTTAAAGGTCATCTGTTGGAAGTTGTTCTTTACTGCTGAGCCCAGAGCAGTAGTGGATCGCTCTGCTTATGTTTAGGACTGTGTTAGGAATACTGGTCTCCCATCACACTCAAGTCTCTTATTTTATTGCCTTTAAATGCCTTCTTTTATTGTACTGTATTGTATTGTACTGTTTTTTTTTTTACTATTTATTTTTATTTCCATGCTCATATTGTTATATTTTCCTCATTTTATTTATTTATTTATTTATTTATTTATTTATTTAGTATTATTTTTTATTTATTCTCCCTATAAACTGACTTTCCTAAAGGGAAAAGGTAGATGGAGAAGGTTAGAGTCTTCAGCTCCTTCTCTCTTTGTGTTTTAGAGTTGTTTTTTTTTTGCTGTGGTCAGGCGCTTGAATATTTCCCTCCTTCTTGTTGGCCTTTTATCTTTTATTTGGTGAGGATTAGCCTCTTAACTGCTTGCTAATTAAACATCGCCTGGAAATGGCCATTTTGTTGTTATGATGTAAAAGGCCGCACCGCCACATGGCCCTTACATAAGGCCAGCCCACACTAGGGCTGGATGCCGGGCAGCTGCCCTCCACAGGGCCGTCTGAGGAGAAGCCTACTGCAGGCTCCCTCATCTCAACTCAATATGACACCCTTCATCGGAGGAGCCGCAGGAGATAGAGAGAGAGAAAGAGAGAGAGATGTGAAGCAAGAAAGGACACAGTGTTTATGACATCCTCTTTCTCTCTCTCTGTATTTCTGTTTCCTCTCAAGCCATGTCAGGGGAGTAGACTCAAGCAGACATCTCAAACACTTAGTTTGCATAGCAATATGCCCCAATTTCTCCCAAGCCACAAGTGATTCTTATATCATTAAAGCCTCTCTCTCTCTCATGCTGTCCTATTTCACCCAAGATGTTTCCATGTGTTCTCCCCTGAAGACCAAACACTAATTTTTAACATTTGCAGAACATATGGTAATAGCACCTTTAGTGTGTCTTTTAAAATATAATGCTTTTAGATGTAATAGCCCAGTGGAGTCATTTAGTACAAAACCAAAGGGCGTGTTCCTTTTGCATATGAGTTATAGCAGCCTTTAGCGCCGATGCAGGCGTACGCTGCCTGCCACTCTCCAGCTTCACGTTCTGTGTGTGTTGAAATAGAACAAATTGGTGTGGAATGCTTGGCACATCACCTGACCAACCTCCCTAAAAAGTCTGCTGGGCCGAGGAAGGCTGTTTAAATCAAATTAGGGCTGAAGGAATAAGCTGGGTTGCCTTTATTCCTGTCTTACCCTGTCAAAGACGCTGGCAAGAAGAGAGAGACAGAAGCTGGGAGCAGGAGATGGGGAAGGGAAAAGGATAAAGATGTAGAGAGATAGAGGTTAAGGCAAAACATGCACTGGTAGTAGGGCTGTCATGACCCACTTACCTGCATTGTTTGCCACTTAGTGTTTATATGCAAAGACAGACGTTTGCAATAAATACTTTCTTACTTCTAAATAATTTAGAAGAAGTTATTCATTTTTCTTGAGATATTTTGGAGGAGATAAGATAATTCACTTGCATATGGAATGGCAAAGTCAAAGGAAAATAGGGGAAAAATAATTACATTTGTATAAACAATTGAATAATTAAAAGATATAAAAAATGGGACTAGCAACCATGTAAGACCTGGTAGACCACCAAAACTGTCACAGATAAACTGTACTTAAACAGTGAAGCTGTTGGTGTTCTCAGAACAATGTACTGGTGACCCCAGAGTCCAGACCTAAACATCCCTGAATGTGTTTGGGAATATTTGAATCATGAGAAGCAGAAAATGCAACCAACTTCTAAGACTGAACTTTGGAGGATTTTATTGAAAAACTAAAGGCCAGTCCACTGAAAAGAATGAAAGCTGTAATAAAGGCAAAGTGTGGACACACTAAATGCTGAAAAATTTATTATATGTGGTTTAGATCATATGTAGCATTCTCTTAAATATATGTTGTCTGCCTTTTTCCTGACACTGAAAAATGAACACTTTCTTAATGGCTGTTTTGAATGGATCCATAAATAAATGAAAGGTGGTCTCTGACTTTTGCACAGTATATATTCACTGCTATAATTAACAGGCATCCTTAATCAATAGGTAGTGACAGAGTGATAGAAAGAGTGAAGCAGATAAAAAGAGTTGAGGGTCATTGTAAAGTGAGAGGGAGACAGAGGAAATGAAAGAGAAAGAAGAAGAAGATTAGAGGGTTGATCAGTGCTGTGGAGCTGGTGATGTGGCTGTATGCATCTGTGCCTGCTCTCTGCGGTCCTTGGTTAGTGTCACACAGTGCTAGTTGGAGACTGGGGCCTGGCTCGCAGCCAGCAAGGCTTTTTTAGGCTTGATGTTTACCCCAGCGTAAAATCACAGTCTTAGCAGGATCATTACAGTGCTGGAAGGGCAGGGTTTTCCATGCGCTTAGAGAGAGTGAAGACACTCGGCAGCGTTTTTGATGTGTGGGTGTGTTTAGGGACAGTGCTCAATACTGTAATGGTTCCCATCAGTAGCTGTGGTTTCGCTGGGTTTCCTTTTCTGGGGCAGAATCAGAGGTGGATTACAATTATATGCACACACAAACACACACTCACATTGTATCCTTATGCTACTGAGATTTCATGTAGTGTACCATTCCCATGCTCTTTGGCTAGGTCAGGGGGCTGATATTTATGTGTGTGTATTTATCTCTGCAGGGAATGACCTGTTCTTGGTGGCCGTGCATGAGCTGGGCCATGCGTTAGGCCTGGAGCACTCCAATGACCCCACAGCCATAATGGCCCCCTTCTACCAGTACATGGACACAGAGAACTTCAAACTGCCTCACGACGACTTGCAGGGTATCCAGAAGATTTACGGTAAGAACAGCTGCAGCAGACCTGAGCTGCACGTTTGACAACGTGGCCTATCTGCTAACCTCATTAGCTTAAGAAGTACTAATGCAAAATACAAGCTAACTGAAAGGGGACTTGTGGAGTTGATACTGAGATCAGAAAATATCCTATTACCAGTAAATACAAAAAATGTATTCTTAACCCTAAGAAACTAGAGTTATTATTGTTGTTTTGCCACATATTCAATTAACGTAAGACGTAATTATTTATGTGATTACACAATTACAGAATTAATTACATACATAATTAATTGTACTTTACATTGAGTTTGCTTTGATGGGTTTGTATCAGTGGGTTTGAGTTTGTGCTGTGTTTCTATGTCAACATGGCAGACATGTAAAGGATGGTTGGTAACATTACTGTTGGTCAGTGTTCATAAGGCTACATGACACCTACATAAGCTTTTCATGATAACGAACATAAAATTTTAAAAGGGGTCATTTGTCATAATATAGCATTAATATCATGACAAATAGATATATATGACACATCTTGCCCCATCAGGCGAGTTGAACAAAAGGCAGCATTTTCTCACCTAACGTCACCTGTTAACTTAACATCAGAGTTGACAAAAACAGCCTTTATGACAGATAATGCATATTAGAATAAGCCTTCATTGTCATGAAAGATATGCTGTAAAGCCTTTGTAATGGGAACATAGGAGGGTTAAAATGAAAATAGAATGATAGATAGGCCTTACTACACGCACTGGGACAGTTTTGTACTAATATGTTTATTTTTAAAGCTGGAATGAGTAGCAGACTTTGTCTTATGTAAATTATGTCCAGTAGTTGTTTTTCTGGCCATAACTCACATACTTATAAATGACAAAGAAAGTAATGGTCAGCACATCCAAAAGACACTCTGTTCTTTCATTTATAAAACTTTATCAGAGCAAAGCATCAATGTTTCCTCCCCTCCCCTGCCCTCATCCCCTGCTTTTCTTTCTCCTCTACCCCTCCACCCATCCTCTCTCTCACTCTGAGGCCAGGTCAGGGCAGGGCTCCTTGGGCAGATGTTCACATCCTCAGACCTGCCCCTCACTCCTCTCTCTCTGTTCCTCCTCTCCCACTTCCTTCCCTGTTTTTCTTCTGTGGAGAGCGTCACAACTCATTCAGACAGGATGAGGTCTGACACAGGAGAGCAGGGTGTGAGAGAATGCCCACAAACCCTGAGCCCAACAGAGACACACATAAACACACTCACACGCACACACAAACATTTCAAACCATGTTGACAGAAAAGTAGTGCTGGCCGATGTTTCACCCTACAACAAAATACCGGTACTGTTATTAAACAACAAAACAGATATGGTATTAATGGATAACAGAAGTTGGTAACACTTTACTGTAGGGTAGCATTCGTAAGGCTATGTGAGCCTTTCGATACCTACATAAGCCTTTTAAGACAACTGACATGAGCCTATCTGAACATGTATAAAACTTATTCCAACAAGCATCAGTTATCATAAAGGTATCATAAAGGCCTGTGTCATTTGATTGTCGCTGTAGAACATTTAAAACAACTTAAAAATACTTTTAAAACTAAATAAACAGCATGTTATCCTTCTAGAAATACGATTTCTGTCTGGTTAATGTTTACAATACTGTTTATGGTCCCCTGCAATGGTTCGTAAGACATTCTTTTAACATAAAGTACCAGCACAGAGGAAACATGAGTTGATTAGCTTGTTATTGTAAACTTAAATATGATCTAATACCATGATACGGTGTTGCATTTGGAAAATACTGTAACACTGAATTTGATCGATATTGCCCAGCAGTATCAAAGCGGGATAATACCTGATCCCTCAGCTGTAAGAGAATATACAGGAGGGTGCAGCAGTGACTATCATTCTAAACTGTCTGCTAAACTCTGTTTGTTGTAATGTCATGTGTGTGTCTATGGCAGCATGGCATGGAAGTGTGATCATACCAAAGTGTTGCGGCCTGCAGCCAAATCCAATGTGTGTGTCTCCCACCCACCAACTATACCAGTGCTCTCTAATGGTGTCTTCTCTGTTTCTCTCTCTCTCTTTTTCTCTGCCCCCTCTTTGCCATTACATAATGGCAGACTGAGCTCTCTCCCCTCTAATCCACGCTCTATTTCAGGAGATTTAATTCAGTCAATGAACGAAATCTCCCTCTTCCCCATGGCTGATCAGGCCAAAGGACCGGGCTGGGATAACTAGAGGAGTAACTATCCCTCTAATCGTCTGAGCCTGCCTCCAGGGCACCACTGCTGGGGTCACGCTTTCATTCACTTACCCATCTCTCCCCTTACAAAAGCATTACCTCTAATGGCCTTTTGGACTGTCACACTCATTCGATTCTCCAAAAAGTCATTAATTTTAAGTAAAACTGGAAACATGATGCAACCCCAAACCCCCCCTATTTGAAGTTAAAGTATTCGTCCATCGGGCCTTTAAACACACAGTCAAGTATTAGGCTAGTTCATAATTACAAAACTCTCATTAAATCTCCTTTTAGTTTGACTGGCCCAGCTAAAAGCAATGCTATTGTGTAGTAACTGCACAGACAAGTACACTGGGGCTGTGTACACTGGACTCTGTAATTCATGCTGTAATGATAATAGTATGTTTTGTTAAATCTCTGGTCTTGGTTTATTCTAAAACAAGCTGTTTTGATTATGAGCATGGCCAGAGCCCTGGCATCTAAAATTCAGTTTCCTGTTTAGGTTTGAGGAAAAGGACGAAAGGTATTTGGAAATGTTCCTTTGTTTGACAATATTTGTATCTCTCTTGGTTTCAGGGCCACCAGACAAGCTTCCTCAGCCTACAAAGCCTTTACCGACAGCGCCCCCTCCACGCTCACACCCCCCTTCAGACCCCCGCAAACATGATCGTCAGACACGGCCCCCACGCATACCCACAGGGGACAAGCCCACACATCCAAACGCCAAACCCAACATCTGCGATGGAGACTTCAACACACTTGCCATCCTACGACGAGAGATGTTTGTGTTCAAGGTAAGAACAATAAATATTTTATCTGAGGCGAATGCTGGTCTACCACACAGTGTACTAGAAACTGTCCTATATCCTATATTTGTCTTGGTTCATTTATAACGTTTATGTGGGTTTATGTACTAAAACCAGTCATATTTAATTTTTGACTTAACTATTTTGGAATTTCTTTATTCCTTAGAATCAAAAACGCTGGTTTTGTTACTCTGTCTTTAAGACTGATACAGTCATATTCAAATGTTTGAACAACGTTTGGCAAATTATAGTACACAACTGCTGTGTCTTTGCTGAGTTTAACATATTAGAAAAATGTAAATATAAAACGGGCGATAACCTTAGCACAGAGTACATTCAATGTTTTATTTTTTCCAGTAACTGCATGTGCATTACAAATGTGCAGAAGTGTGTTCTCTATAAGGACAATTTTTTGCTTAGAAAATCAATAAAATGTAATTTGATCAGGGGTGCCCATACTTTTGCGTACGACTGTATGTAAAATACCTTTGCTCTGATTAGATGCTGTCTATTGTGCCTCATTCAAAAAGTAGCCTGGGCTGAACTGTTACAGGCTGAATAGAAGAAAATTTGCAACTGTGTTGGTTTTCGTGACATCACAAAAAAAAAAAAAAAATCATTAAAAAAAGAGTTGCTTTTGCATCTTAATTTCCATATAAGGACCATGTGTACTGGGAGGTGAACAGTGTGTTTTGAAACTTCATTGAACTCTTTTATTTTAATAAAGCTGGGAATACTCAGTTTTACATGATATAGATGCTTTAAATAACTAGTGACCGTTAATCCAGTCAGCGTCCCCATTACTGTATGGAGCCACAGTTCCACTAAGGTTTTCCCCTTTTTCAGGGCCTCGCTGTGCCCTACATTACAAACCCCTCTAGCTGTAACAGAATGGCACACAGTATACACAGACATTTCCTTATAGGAAACAGCACAGTTCAGGTAATGTTATAGCTCTGTGTGTGAGAGCAGTGTGCTTTGCATGTGTTCCATGTGCTGTATTTCCTCCTGTTGAGTTGAAGGCCAGTGACCTGTAAAGGGAGGGGCTTCTTCTTGATCCAGTGAAGTTTCTTTAAACCCCAACTAACAAACTAATGATCTGTTTAGCCTCTGGCTATGATTTATTTCAATTAGCCTTGAATCAGCATCATCTTATGTTCGGATGAGACAACTAGTGCTTTTGGCATAAACCATGGCATGCATTCCCTCCAGTGAATCTCTGAATAGAGAGCAGTCCTAGAGCCATTCTCAAGCTTCCTGTGAAGCTTCCTGTGAAGCTGCCATGTCAGAGCACAGTGCCCTGGCCACCTATAAAAATCTTTCAAGCCACACAAAGATATCCTGTGTTCTCTTAAAATCATAAGGGTTATACAAAGTCTGAATTCACTTGTTAATTTGGGGCAGGAGAAAAAAGAAAGTACTTTTTTGTGAGCAGCTAAACATTGGCGCATTGATTTGTTTCATTTGAAGAGTGTTTTTCTTGTTAAAAACTCAGTCTGTGCTCCTGGATCCAGAAGCAGGGAACTCCAGTCAAGGAATTGATCATGATTGGTGGTGTCTTGCCCCCTCTCTCTTTAGTACTGTGGGCTAAAAGCACAAGAAAAGCAAAACTTCGGACAGTGAAGCTGGCCTGTATATCTATGCAGATATGTGTTTTCCCCCCACCGGCAGCTCTGGGCTGCTACAGATCATGAGATTTCAAGACAGCCTGAAAGAGAAAGCCAGGAAATGTACGTGCTTGTGGGAGCCTGTGGGGCTAAGAGATGGATGGGCTTTCCCTTTCTCGGCTCCACAGCCTGACAGGCCCTGCTGAGTCCACTCCAGCTAAGTCTTCAGTTCAAAAACGTGTGATGCATGGTCCATGAGAGTTGGACTAGAGGTCATCTTTCATAGCTGCTTGTAGATTTCATGGTGTCTCCTTGCTGCTTTGGTCCGTTCCTTCATTTTTATGTTTATTCAGCTGCTAGGACATGTGATAGGGGAGGTTTGATCTCAGTTCTTGTCTTTACACTTAGGCCTGTGGCTCAAGCTAATCCACTTAGGACAGGGCTCGGCAAGAGCTGCATGCAGCTCTTTTACTGCCCTGTTGCGGCTCCACAGCAGAAATTGATTTTCAGATACAAATAAAATAATCCTCCTTTGTAGTAACATAAAGCCCTGTTGATCATCCGAACTAAATGGTTGTAAATGCTGGAGTTAATGTATAACTGCTAATTCACCCTGAAGGTTGGCGTGCAGACTGATGGTCACATAGCAACAGTCTCGCCTAGCTAGCTAGTAGCTAACGAAAGGGCAAAAAGAAAGATTTCAGACAAACATGGACAATTTAGAGGCAAATGGACTTGTTTGCATTTATAAGCACTCCAGCTGGTTTCCTGATACGTTTAATCTGCAACGAGAAACTGTCAAACAAACTAAAATGTCACGAAGATTAAGTCAGTTTCTCGTTCAAATTGTTTGAATTCCACCTTTAATGGTCCTGCAGTTACATTCTGGTGCCCACGCACCATTTAAGGTGAAACGGGAAAATTCGAACAAAAAGCTGGCGAATGAGAAGCTGACTTCAGCCTCATAAAAAGTCGAACATTGAGAGACATTTTACAAGAAACTGTTCTACATTTGGATGGAAAATGGAAAAGTTTCCTGCCAGAGATGTGAGAAAAGTGGCTATAGCTGAGTTAAAGATTAAATCAGAGCAAAGTAAGTCTGTGTTTTTACTTATATTTTTTATCCTATACTAGGACATTAGTACATACTGAGGCATATTTACAGCCAAGATGTTAAAATGGACATAAATGTTGTGGCTCCCAAGGTGGTTTGATTTTTGTTGTAAGGAGAAGATGGCTCTTAACATTTGGGTTGCTGACCCCTGAGTTAAGAGATCAAACAAAGGACATTTTTGATATTTAGAGTTGCAGTGCATTCCTTACTTCCTTCACCTGGAAGCAAATGATGTAAACTGATCATCATCAAGTGCTTAAATACTTGTCCCACATTTTGGTCAAATTGTATGCATTTAAGCATCCTCCATGCTCATTTATATGTGTGAGCTAACAGGCCCTCTGTTTGATTTTAGTCTCCTTTGGCTGCGCGTTATGTTGTGCATATTAAGATCCAGCAGTGGTGGTAATTGACTCAGCTCATTAAGCTGGACTTCAGCAGTACAAACTCAGCGAGCTGAAGTGTGGAGGATTACATTACGAGAGCAGCAGGACAGAACAGACTGCCTCTTGCTATTTCATCACACCTAAGAATCAATCCCACCCCATGCTAAAGTATCAATCACACACACTAACAAACAGTAGAAACCCAGCTACAGAGGCAAGTGGGGCCAAAATTGCCAAGAGAGGGAGGGAGAGAGAGAAAGAGAAAAAGAGAGAGATAAAGGGGACTTTATTCAGTGTTACACAAACCCAGTTTGTGTGCCATACTGTAAGCTGAAAAAGTGCTGCATCTCTTCTCCTTCTCCTACAGAAGAAAAATTAATTGGTTTGCTGTGGAATAAAGTTCTGGAACGTTAATTAAAGATGTGCGCTCTTCCTCTTGAGGCTTTCTTCAGAGATGCCTAGCGTGTGATGGATGAGTGATGGAGAATTGTTGAAAGACTTGTAGCTCTCTGTCATCTCCCTCTGTTCCCCAGCACTAGAGGGTGAGGCGGTTGTAGCTGTGGCCTTTCTGAACATCCAAGTCTACAAACATCACAAGCTAAAGAATCTTCTCTACACTCACCCTTCATACATTACTGCTGAGACATGACTACTCAGATGTATGGGAACACAAATGGAGCTCTTTAATTAAAAGCATTCTTAATGGCTTATAGAAAATGTGCTTCAAAACAGACAATACATGACTAATCATTAAATCCACAAATGTTTCACCAACCGTTTATATATCACCTCAGAGTGACCTGGAACTTAGACCCCTATTGATCGACAGATAAAACTGTGAAAGCATTTTACTGGCAATAACAAAATAACAATTTAAAAATGCATTTTGTTATTTTTTAATATTTTGGAGCATTTCTATTGGTCTAATCATCATGAAATGTTCACACAATGTAAAGAACAACCCCTGCGTTTAATGTATACCTTGGGTCACTAGTGGACCATGCCCTCAACCCACCCACCCCCACCACCTCCTTGTCCAGTTTTTTCAGTGCCAAAATATTTTTGTATAAAAAATAATATGAAATAAAAATGTTTAACCATAATCAGTAACACTTTATTTTGAGAGTTCAGTGTAGATGCTTTGTAGATGACGCATCTAACATTCAACTAAAGAACCATTAAATGCATTCGAATATTAAGTTGAATGTAATGGATTCTATTAAATCTAACCCCTAATCTAAACCATACTTTAACTACCCAAGACCTAACCTAATCCTAAACCTAACTCTGTCAATAATCAACATCAATTAACAATTTAAGCATCTGTAAATAACCTTATAAGGGACTCTCAAAATAAAGTATGACCATATAATTGTTGTTTTGTTATTGTCAGTTTTGTCTAGTTGTGTTAGATATAAGTTCTGGGTCACTAGCAACCCTATGATTGTTCTGGTTGGCAGGACGCTCATACATGTAAGGGTTAAGTTCTTTGTCTGGCTCCTGTACACCTGATGCTGTGGTCACGCAGCAGCAGTAGAGGCGTAGGGGTGAGTTTAGGTCACTCAGGCATGCTGTGGGTTTCTTCTGGGAGCCAGCGGGCCGCACAGCGGATTAAGCAGTGCAGCGGCTCTGGGAGCGCTCAAAAGGAGCAGTGCAGCAGGCCAGCGAGCTACAGATTTATGATCCTCATGATCGCCAGCCAAGAGGTAGAGATCCTACAGGCTTCAGAGAGGAGCAGCATTCATCTGGCTTACATGATTACCATGCACAGAGTTGCTGCTTCGTGAACACACACCCACACACAAGTCCCTTGCTCTGGGGCACGGAGACAGCGTCTCCTCAGTGCCTGATTCAGATGGCCATAGAAAGCTGTTTCCTTCC